TCTTAAGGTACGTGAAATAGGTAACTCAGTATAAATATCAGGTTCTTTTTTCTATTTTGGTTACATAACCAGATTGATATTTCTACTCGGTTCCATTTCGACCATTATTTGCTGGTACGACCCTTTCTAATTTCTACAGTTCAATTTGTCGTCTTTAGGTTTCAACCAAACCTAAAAAGAAAGAGAAAGAAAGGAACCAATAAAAATAACGTTGACATGAACTGTGATAGCCAGTCACACAAGTTTAGCATGAAAGCCAACAAATACGTGGAAAATTATGAAAACAAAAACATTCACAATTCATGAAAGAGACTTTCACAATTTTTTAAAGAAATTAAACAATACAAAAGTCCTATATTTTGAAAAAATAAGTGATGATGTAAAAGAAGGTAGGGAAGGGGCTAATGCAATAAACAATAAAGTGTGGAGACTACTGTGAGTAAACTCTGCAACTTCGATCAAGGAAGCTATAAGTAAATCGAGGCCCTTTATTCACAAATGGTAAACAATATATAAAGAGAGAGGCCACTAGACTTTTTAGACTTTCTCTTTCAGCCGTTGGATCTGTCCTTTCGATGATGAGAGATATCTTCTTCTTCTTCTAATTTTGGCAGAATCTTTTGTCTAATTCCACTCTCTCTGTCCTAAAATTTCCCCTCTTTTTCACTTCATTGACCAGGTAACAGATCATTTCAGATTAATTTCAATTTAAAAACAATGAAATTAAATGATAGTAAAACCAACAAAAATTGGAAAGAAACAGAGAACCTTTTTTAAAAAAGGGTGAAATGACATTTATTTTAATTGGATCCAATAGGAAGAAAGTCATGCAAAAGATGTCAAGAACAAAACAAGTCATGTAGAACTTTAACAAATACAAAACGTCATGCAATTTAAAAATATACTGTATAGAACCTTTTTCGATTTGATCAGAACAATAGTAATAAATCATATTTTTTGGTTCTATAGTAGAATAATAAATCATATTTTTTACTTTTTGGATTTTATATAAACCATGAATCGAAAATACGAAAAAAATATACAAAATTAGCGGATGAAAAGATATTCCCGAAAACATAATCAGCGGAAAATAAAATAGTCCGAAAATAAATCTTTAAAACAGGGAAACTACAACCTAATCCAATTAATAGAAAACATACGGAAAATTAAATTGAACCCTAGCAACATAAACTGAGGCAGTACTTTAATTTTGTGGGTTCTATAACAATACACAAACTAGAACCTATTTTTTAATGTTGTCTAGTTTGTTTCTTTTTTTTCTAATGTCATTAGATTTAATTATTTTATATTTAACTACAAAGTTTTATTAAAAATAACAAATTATGATCTTTCAGTTTCAACCAAACGTCAGGTTTTATTTACATCATCAGGTAGACAAAACTAAGATAATAAAATAGTTTACATGAACACAATATAGATAATAATCACATACACACATGTATTATGTATTTATCTCAACCAGTTTCCGCATGTGAATCACACTACAAGAAAACAAAGGATTTTCCGACGGGCAAAACCGTCGGAAATTCGTTGGAATACACCCTATTCCGACGGCTTTCCGACGGTTTTGGTCGGTCGGTTCTATCTCGTCGGAAATAAAAATTCCGTCGGAAATCCGTCGGAAATACTGACGGATTTCCGACGGAAAAGGAATACCGAAATCCGTCAGAAATCCGTCGTAATTCCGGCAGTATTTCCGACGGAT